TCCCAGTTTAAGACAATATGAGAAGATTTTTTTTAGTTATTTTCGAATGTCAATAAAGTATTTTGGTAAACTGCATAATAAATTAGAAAGTTGTTTGAAATTTTCAAATTTCAACAAGCTGGCACCCAAGGAACTCTACGCAGCAGATCATCATGTGGAATGTTTCATTTGAACACACGGTTTATTGCTTCTACGGCCTGACGATCAGTACAACTCAGAGATAAAAGTAATAATAATTAACACCCTAAAATTATTTGTCTATTATTACCTATCTCCTCTAAGCAATGGACAAATTCTTCAAGTAGAAGCAAGAGTCACATCGAACCAATAGAAATAGAGAAAGAAAAATAGACATAAAATTATAAAATAAAAAAATTGGTCTAAAGAGTTTAGACAGTACTTCCCTCGCTGTCGGAAACTTGACGACTGCATGCCTATTGTGTTTTTTTTCTCATTACATTTTTGTAGTGGGAATTTAAAAAAAAATTGCGATGACGTCATCAACATTTTTGCAAGGACACGTATATCAGTTGGGATAGATGTAGTGTAATACTAAGAATAAAATTATTATATTCTCAAATTTTCGGGAAAATGAATTGGGTCGTTTGAATATTGATTTGTAATAATCAATAAAATAACGAAACAATTTACTCACGTATACCTACGTATCAGAGGCAACTGAAAATCGTGTATGTATAAACATTGTTAATTTAAGATGACAGGCGTAACAGCATACGTGAGAGCCAAACACAGAAACTGTAAACAAAACGACCGTCGGTTTTATTGCTTCGACTTCCGCTTATTATATAAAACATTGGGTTTTATTTTAATTCTTGACGGTGAAATTCACAATTGGTTGATTATAAACATGTCTATTTCACATTCGCGGAATCAAGTGAACGCATAAAACAAATGCAGGTCTGTAATGTTAAAGTCGATGTAAATAAGCGTGCTACCCTTATGTTTCAACCGAGTTTTTCCTTTAACAAATTTTGTGTCTACCAAATTGGGTTGGTTGGGGTGTAATACTAATAAGTGTTGCCTTTAATTTAATCAATAAAATAAATTGACTTCATTAATTCTTTTGAACCACCTCTTAAGAAAATCTAAAAAATATGAATGGAATGATAAATCACAAGTACAAACTCATCATATTTTTTGCATTTTAGATAGGATTTATTCAGCAAAATTTAAGGGTGACGTCATCAATTTTTTTAGGAGGGATGAACAAATACATTTTGAACAAAAGTTTACCATGCTTATAATAACTTTAAAATATTCCCAAGATTTCAAAGCATTCGGTTTTGTAATTCCTGATTAAATCGATAAAATAAATTCACGCCTTCATTAATTTTTTTGAGTCACCCTGCATATGCAAATCCAAAAATATGAATGGAATGATAAATCACAAGTACAGACTCATCATATTTTGTACATTTTAGATACGATTTATTCGGAAAACTTTTGAGCTGACGTCATCAGTTTTTTGTAGATGATAACCAAATATATTTTGACTAAAAATTTATTATGCTCTTTATAACCTTAAAACATCTGCAAGATTTCAAAGCATTCGGTTTTGTAGTTCCTGATTAAATCAATAAAATAAATTTACGCATTCATTAATTTTTTTGAGTCACTCTGTATATGCAAATCCAAAAAATATGAATGGAGTGATAAATGACAAGTACAGGCTCATCATATTTTGTACATTTTAGATATGATTTATTCGGCAAACTTTCGAGCTGACGTCATCAAGTTTTTGGAGGGGATAAGCAAATATATTTTGACTAAACATTTATTATGCTCTTTATGACCTTAAAACATCTGCAAGATTTCAGAGCATTCGGTTGTGTAGTTCCTGATTAAATCAATAAAATATATTTACGCATTCATTAATTTTTTTGAATCACCCTGTATATGCAAATCCAAAAAATATGAATGGAGTGATAGATCACAAGTACAGACTCATCATATTTTGTACATTTTAGATATGATTTATTCCACAAACTTTTGAGCTGACGTCATCAAGTTTTTGGAGGGGATAAGCAAATATTTTTTGACTAAAGATTTATGATGCTCTTTATAGCCTTAAAACATCTGCAACATTTCAAAGCATTCTGGTTAGCAGATTAAAAATTAAATTTCAAAATGTTGTTTTATAATTTTGATTTTTTTTCCAAAAATCTGGACGTTTCGGGTGAAAAGTCGATTCAGAGTTGTAAACTACATGTGTAGGACTATGTTATTTTATACAATTGAAAACCCATTTACTATGTACAATTTTGAAGTGACGTCATCGCTTTAGTGGTGGGGATGATTCGACAAATTTTGGTTAGCGTTTTACCATCTACATGATATTCTTAATATAAGTACAAAATTTCACAACAATCGGTCGAGTACTTTCGGAGATTATCTGTCTAATAAAAATCCGGGACAACAGACGGACAGACGTACAGACGGACAGACGGACGGACAGACGGACAGACGGACGGACAGACGGACAGACGGACGGACAGACGGACAGACAGACGGAAATGGGAGACCTATTTCTTCGTCTTCTAGGGGTCATGAAAGATCGAGAAAACGTAAAAGTAGAGAGTCGGCCGACGGACTCGATTACAGTACTTCCTTTGCTTACGCTCGGGAAGTAAAAAAAACTAACAAATTGTTTCTCAGAAATTATACATGATTAAAACCGTTGCTACATTTATAAGACAAGTGTACAGGAAATGTTCCCACTTATATATTTTTACTTCCCGAGCGTAAGCAAAGGAAGTATTGTAATCGAGTCCGTCGGCCGACTCTCTAGTTTTACGTTTTCTCGATCTTTCATGACCCCTAGAAGACGAAGAAATAGGTCTCCCATTTCCGTCTGTCTGTCTGTCTGTCCGTCTGTCCATCTGTCCGTCTGTCCGTCTGTCCGTCTGTCCGTCTGTCCGTCCGTCTGTCCGTCCGTCTGTCCGTCTGTCCGTCTGCCGTCCCGGATTTTTATTAGACAGATAATCTCCGAAAGTACTCGACCGATTGTTGTGAAATTTTGTACTTATATTAAGAATATCATGTTGATGGTAAAACGCTAACCAAAATTTGTCTAATCATCCCCACCACTAATGCGATGACGTCACTTCAAAATTGTACATAGTAAATGGGTTTTCAATTGTATAAAATAACATAGTCCTACATATGTAGTTTACAACTCTGAATCGACTTTTCACCCGAAACGTCCAGATCTTTGGAAAAAAAATCAAAATTATAAAACAACATTTTGAAATTTAATTTTTAATCTGCTAACCAGAATGCTTTGAAATGTTGCAGATGTTTTAAGGCAATAAAGAGCATCATAAATCTTTAGTCAAAAAATATTTGCTTATCCCCTCCAAAAACTTGATGACGTCAGCTCAAAAGTTTGTGGAATAAATCATATCTAGAATGTACAAAATATGATGAGTCTGTACTTGTGATCTATCACTCCATTCATATTTTTTGGATTTCCATATACAGGGTGACTCAAAAAAATTAATGAATGCGTAAATATATTTTATTGATTTAATCAGGAACTACAAAACCGAATGCTTTGATATCTTGCAGATGTTTTAAGGTTATAAAGAGCATAATAAATTTTTAGTCAAAATATATTTGGTTATCTTCTACAAAAAACTGATGACGTCAGCTCAAAAGTTTGCCGAATAAATCGTATCTAAAATGTACAAAATATGATGAGGCTGTACTTGTGATTTATCATTCCATTCATATTTTTGGATTTGCATATGCGTGACTCAAAAAAATTAATGAAGGCGTGAATTTATTTTATCGATTTAATCAGGAATTACAAAACCGAATGCTTTGAAATCTTGGGAATATTTTAAAGTCATTATAAGCATGGTAAACTTTTGTTCAAAATGTATTTGTTCATCCCTCCTAAAAAAATTGATGACGTCACCCTTAAATTTTGCTGAATAAATCCTATCTAAAATGCAAAAAATATGATGAGTTTGTACTTGTGATTTATCATTCCATTCATATTTTTTAGATTTTCTTAAGAGGTGGTTCAAAAAAATTAATGAAGTCAATTTATTTTATTGATTAAATTAAAGGCAACACTTATTATTAGTATTACACCCCAACCAACGCAATTTGGTAGACACAAAATTTGTTAAAGGAAAAACTCGGTTGAAACATAAGGGTAGCACGCTTATTTACATCGACTTTAACATTACAGACCTGCATTTGTTTTATGCGCTCACTTGGTTCCGCGAATGTGAAATAGACATGTTTATAATCAACCAATTGTGAATTTCACCGTCAAGAATTAAAATAAAACCCAATGTTTTATATAATAAGCGGAAGTCGAAGCAATAAAACCGATGGTCGTTTTGTTTACAGTTTCTCTGTTTGACTCTCACGTATGCTGTTACGCCTGTCATCTTAAATTAAGAATGTTTATACATACACGATTTTCAGTTGCCTCTGATACGTATACGTGAGTAAATTGTTTCGTTATTTTATTGATTATTACAAATCAATATTCAAAACGACCCAATTCATTTTCCCGAAAATTTGAGAATATAATAATTTTATTCTTAGTATTACACTACATCTATCCCAACTGATATACGTGTCCTTGCAAAAATGTTGATGACGTCATCGCAATTTTTTTTAAATTCCCACTACAAAAATGTAATGAGAAAAAAAACACAATAGGCATGCAGTCGTCAAGTTTCCGACAGCGAGGGAAGTACTGTCTAAACTCTTTAGACCAATTTTTTTATCTTGTACGTAGGTAAGTTATTACCGCATGCTTATCACACACTAATTTAAAGATTAACACGTAAGTAATATAATTAACATATTCAAAGTAAGGTGTCGTAAAACAAATGATTAAAATAATTAATTTTTACACAAATTACACATAATTTTAAGATGGAAATACGAAAACAATGTCTCAATTTATAAAAAACACGTGTAGGTAACTTTTCAAATGGGAATTCCTTATGGCGTTTCATTTGTTAGTTTCGCTAGCCTATGTTATCAGTACTGTATGGCAACCTTTAACAATCACCTTCAATATTTGTTAATACAATACAATAAAACACTAGTGCACACAAGTATTCAGTGTTTGCATAAGTAAGTACTTCCAAATCCCTGAACAAATTATTTAACAACTATTTGGCAACGTCAATAATTTTCATGTATCCGTCACATGAAAATTTCTTATTTAAGGAAAAATTAAATTGCATTGAGATCAACTGTTGCAGATTGTTCGCAGAAATTCTTCATAATGGCAACCGTACCTTTGGTTTTGTGTCTTCTTTCGTATTTTTTTTCACCGAGCTTTGCTGCTGTCATTGTTCAAACCAATAAAAGTGAGTTAATTCAATCTATATCGTTTTAAAATAAAAAATCGCATAGATCTTTTCGAGAACATCGAACCAACACCGGACGCACAATTACTTAAAGAAGACCAAACCTTCTGGTATGGAGTAGCTGGCGACTATTTAGAAGAAATGATTAAACTTGATCAACAACCGAAGAAACACGTTGCGAAGAATGTAGTCATCATGATTGGAGATGGCATGGGAATTCCGACGGTTACGGCAACCAGAATATACAAAGGACAAAGAAACTACGGCAAAAGCGGTGAAGATCACAAACTTGTTTACGAAAACTTTCCTAGTGTAGCTTTAGTTAAGGTAATGTTAGAACGAAGATTAGAAAATACAACTTAATTCCCACTAACTCAAATTCTAACAATCTACCAAACACAAGTACGACAAAAATACCAGCTTGTTAGTTGATTGACAATTTCTTTGTGGTGTTTGGGACAAATGGTAGAGACTGTTCCTAACCTTGACTAACTTTTAGACTTATAACGTGGACATGCAAGTACCAGATTCTGCTGGAACAGCTACCGCTCTTTTTTCAGGTATATTCTTATACACAGATAAATTAATTCGCATTTTTCATTTAGAACCTCTATACCTAATTATTCTATAGGTGTGAAAACCCGCTACGAAGCAGTCGGTGTAGATGTCCAAGCCCACAAAGAAGTACCGGATTCAGAAATTTTCGAAAAAAGCAAAATCGAGGGTATAATGACTTGGGCCCAAAATGCCAATAAAGACACTGGTAAGAATTGCTGTGTTTTTTTGTGTTGGAATTAATAAGTGGTGTTTAGGTATTATTACTACGACGAGGATAACCCATGCCACTCCTGCTTCGACCTATGCCCATTGTCATCATCGCGATTGGGAATGTGATAGCGAAGTTCCGCAAAATTTTAAACCTTTCGTTAAAGATATTGCACGACAACTAGTAGAGGATGCCCCAGGAAAGAATTTCAAGGTGAGTGTACCAATTAATTCTCGGTAGGCATAGTAAAAATTATCCAAACAGCAAGACAAAGACTTTGAATTATCAAATTTACTCCTTATCGTTACAATTTTCAATTTGTTATTTTTGATGCTATCCGTGGTAATAAAGAGTAAGTTTTTATAGACACGATGACTAAAGTTTATTACTTTGTTATTCACGTTGTTTTTTGTTTTCTAATCCTTGGAATTTCATGAATTACTAAAAATTAGTTTACATAGATAAAAGATTTAAGACCTTTAAACTATGAAGAAATTGATTACTTATATGAGAACTTGATTACAAATTAATATAATGTATTTAAAATTTTTTAATAACTTCATTGATTACGTAGTAAACAAGAATACAAAATTCTTGGATTTAATAAGTAAGTAAATGTAAAAATTTATTTTTTCGAGACCTACAAGAACTAACCACTAATAATTTTCTGAAAAAGCATTCTGTTGATGCCAAAACCAAATAAATCTCTAATTAGATGCAATAATAAAGATACATTTTTCTAGGTCATATTAGGGGGAGGGTACCAACAACTAGGTTACATCACTCAAGACCTCAGTGACGGTGAATGTGTCCGAACCGATGGCTTAAACCTAACTGAATCGTGGATAGCAAAACATGAAAATTTAAGCGCAGCCTTTGTGAGCAACAATGAACAGTTAGCAAATATTGGTGACGTCGACTGTCTCCTCGGACTCTTTCATCATGACCACGTACCTTATGATCTCCTCCGTGACGAAGGTCCAAAAGGAACTCCAAGGTTATCAGAAATGACACTCAAAGGTCTCAACATTCTTAAAAAAAACCCAAATGGGTTCGTTTTGATGATAGAAGGAGGACGTATTGATCATGGCCACCACGACAACTACGCACGACTTGCTCTCGCTGAATCTGCAGAATTCGAAAAAACTATTTCTTTGGTAGTCGAAGAGACGGACTCTGATACTTTAATTATAGTGACAGCTGATCACTCGCATTCCATGACTATTAACGGGTATGGACAGAGAGGAAATGATATTCTAGGTAAAAAGTTTCTACATTTTTAGTCTTTGAAAATAATTTAAAAAATCTGTTACAGGTTATGGACTTGAAACTGAGGATGACAAACCTGCGCTAACTCTGAGTTACGCGAATGGACCTGGTTTTGCTTATCATTACTCGCCGAACGTTTCTTCTATTCTCGGGCCATGGATTGATGTAAGAACAGATGATATAAATCGTCTCAACAATCCGGAATATCAACATCTGGCCACGTTTGAAGTTGATGACGAAACCCACGGTGGTGAAGATGTTGGTATTTTTGCTACAGGACCAAGTTCTCACCTGATAAGAGGAGTTATGGAGCAGAATTATGTAGCACATTTGATTAGTTATGCTGCTTGTATAGGACCCAGGGCGACAGCAAACCCTTACTGTAATAACTTTAAAAGTTCTGCAGCTAATTATTCAAGCCTTTGCTCATGGGGAATAATCTTACTTATTCTGGTTATCGTTTCGCACTAAATATAAAACTATCCAGTTTTTGTAAAAATGGTTCCTATATTTGTCTTGATTGAAACAAAGAAAATTGTTACAAGAAAAAGTTTTTTTTTTCTTGTAACACTGAATTAACGCATTTATTTCAATTCAAAAATTTCAAATTTTCTAAAGAAGCGCGCCATCTACACGATCGATGAGTTGCTTGCTTTCGATATTTGCGTTGATTAGTGGTATTTGCGTTGATTAGTGCTATTTGTCTTGTTGTTTCATAACGGGTGTTCAGTTAAAAAAGTCATCATGTTGGCTTTGATTTTTTGTAGACATTGTGAAGTATGTCTACAATTAACCTCAAATTTTATCGATGACAGCTGACAACGCGGAAATGTCAATTAGGTATATAAAGCAGTATGAATTAATAAAAGATAACCGTTTTTCCATACGTTTTCTTTTATCTAAAAAGCAACGCCAACTTGACGACTTTTTTAATTTAACACCCGATATGTGTGATTCCATTGTAATAAATTTATACATATGTGACGTTTCCCATACCATAATTATGTATTTAGTTTATGGAAAGAATGTATATTATTATTATGATTATACAGTGTACAACCACAGTGTACACATTATTTAGGGACAACTCGCTGTTTATAGAAAGACGTTTTGATGAGTGGTCGTTTGTCTTAATCGTGTGAGGGCATCCGAAATATTTGACAAATTCGTTTTTTTGTTTTGCCGGTTTTGCTTGTTTAAATGCTGCTCTTCCCACGAAATTATACAGAATAAAAATGACAAAATCTATTCATTTTTTTCTCATAGGGGGGAACATCAACTGTGGCGAAAATTTTATCAATAGGGGACCAAAATTTAAAAACATCACTATCTGGCAAGCGAAAACCAATGGATTTATTTACAAATTATATGTTTCGGAAAGACCTGCAACGACAAATTTGGCAACTTAATGAAAAAAACGAATGTTTCACTGTAGATACTCTTTTGGCATATTTTAGGGAACAGTTGGAATTTAAAGGGGGGTGAACCACATTATACAAAATTCTTAAGTCAATGGGTTATAAACACAGGGAAGTAAATGGTCGCAAAATTCTATATGAACAAAAACATGTCGTTGCAGCCTAGAATTACTTTTTTTGAGAATATATTTACAGTTTCTAAATTCTTGTGAAAATTTGACTTTCGTGTATTTGGATGAAATATGCATCTTTCAAAATGGTTCGTCCATTCGTCGCTGGGTGCACGATACTGATCTAAAAAGCAATCCCACCAAAATTAGAAGTGAAGGATCAAGGTTTACTATTCTCCACGCGGGGTGTTCAACGGGGTTCTTCGATGGTTGTAACAACTTTTTAAATTCAAAAAATAACGATAGAGACTATCATAGAACGATGGACGGAATAATTTTTCAAAATTGGGTGGTTAATCAGCTAATTCCTGATTTGGCAATGTTGAACCAAAAATGTGTGGTGGTTTTAGACAATGCACCGTATCATTCGGTTCAGTTGGATCAACCACCCACTTTTTCTAGTAAAAAATGTGAAATGCAGGAATGGCTCTTTAAACATAATGCTGAATTTGACAAAAAAATTTCGAAGAAACAATTCTGAGATTTAATTAAACCCTTCAGAAACAATAGAAAAAAAAAGACATTTGGTAGACGAGACATTAAGAGAAAGTGGCCATGAAGTTCTTCCATTACCTCCGTACCATTGTCAATATAATCCAATTGAAATGGCGTGAGGATTTTGTAAGAACTATTACAACAAGCATATAAATTCTTAACCTTCATTAAAAAATAGGGTGGAGAATTTATGGCTAGAGGCGCTTTCTAAATGTACTCCAAGCATGTAGCAAAATTTTTGGAAACATTGTGAAAAACTTATTTTGGCAGATTGGGAAAAAAATATGGAAAATCTTTCGTACGAATCTATATCTCCTCTCATTATTTCGCTAGGTGAATCTGATTCAAAATCTGAATTTGAAAATGACGGTGATGATACAGATTTTCATGGCGAAATAATGGAAATGGAGTGAATTGTAGCTTGTCGGGGCATGATATTTTTACGCATCTTTCGTTCTAAATTTACCAAGGTATTATGTGAAAAACTACCTGACGTACAACAAAATAAGTATAATTTTAGTTAGATCATCCACGTTGTTACTTTGCACCAAATTTTAAGCATTTTCATTTTTTTTTTGTAACTCTTCATGGACCTGGAGAAGACGTATAGTAACTTTCTTATTAATAAGCGTTTGGAAGTACTTAGTAAAAGCAAATAAAGAGCACTTACGTAAGCATTAGTAATAGCTATATAGGTAAATCATTCAATTTAAGGCCGGAAAAATGTTTCAGAAGAGCTAAACCCATCAAAGCACTAAAGCAAGGTTGTTGTCTTTTACCAACTCTTTTAGTAATCTTAGAAAAGTGAAAAAAGTTGGAAGATATGGAAATAGGCTGTTCACAAAAATCGAAATTTCCATGTCTAAGAAGAGTGGGCGAGCAGAACGAACTGATGATTGAGAATTAAAGATGAGATGCTAAATGTGGCATGCGACAATAGTCGTATGTAGAACCCCCATTCATATAAAAACAATGTTTAAGTGAAACTTTAGTGTTTGTTCCTTACATATGAAATAAACACTTACAAAAAGCCGAATAACTGTTTTAAATAGCGTAAAGTTTGATGCTTTCTAAGAAATTGATACCGTTAACTTGGTCATTGCTACTGAAAACTGAAAGTATCGGCAACAATGTTTATATTTCTGGCATATTTTTTAACCTTTAATTTAATAAAACATAACCTAACGAAAAAAGTTCCGGGAATTTTTATTCTTCTGCATCGAACACCACAAAAACTCACTAGATTTTCTTGGCCAACCCTACTATATAAAGAACGTGAACGGATAATAATAATGGATACAGACCTGCCTGTGTACAGATGTCTAAGTTGACATTCTCATTTTGTAGAACTTGACTTATTAGAGGGTACTTGCGATAACGCAAATCACAACTTTGCGGCACCGATTTATGTCAATAGTTATCAATTATCATGCATTTTTAAGTTGAAAATTATCGTTAATGCAACGTTGACACCTTAGCTCTCTCGCCAATCTTTCTTCATTTTCACGATCACTTCCACTAGGATTTTCGAATAAATTAACAGCAACACATGCTAAAACTTCAGGACGAGCGTTATTTTTCGAGATAACGAAGCCAAATATTTCAACCACTTGCGTAACCTACTAAATGTCACGCAATTTGATGTTGCAAATTGCAATGGAAAGTTAACTATTGTAGTGAATTGCGTTAGTACAAAATGATCAACTTGAAATTGGCTCGTTAGGTATTCTGTAAAAATTCCAGCTCTTGCATCTTACATGCAATCTTATTTGCTTCTCTTCTAGCGCCTCTCTTTTGTGACTGGTCTTCAACCAGATATTTCTAATGCTTCTAAAATTCAAAACTGCTCCTATTTTCATATCATGTGCCTCCCATGTGGTATTAGACATTTAGATTTAAGACACTTCCATTTAAATACAATCTTTAAGAATTGCCCAATTGCTTGAAGCTGAGAAAAATGTTAGTTATTGCGTGATGTGTCTATTTCAATAAACCTTTTGTCCCAATTTGACGATACTTGTAAAACGTACCGTTTATAATAATTTTGAATGCACGGAGCTGTGGGTGGTTGACTACATTACTGAAGTCACTGAAGTTATTTATTCATGTTCCTACGATAGAAAATCTTACATTTTGTCGAGTGTTTAAATCAGGCTCTTGCTCATGTTCACTTACTGCTCTTATAAGAATATTTAAAATTACTTGTAACAATTAAATCTGAAATACAAACAAAAAATAATTAATCAAATCTATACTTATATAATAAAGCTGAAGCTTTTGTTTATTTGAACACGCATATCTCAGAAACTACTGGTTCAAATTCAAAAAATCTTTTTGTGTTGGATAGTCCATGTATCATATCTACATATAGGCTGTATAACATCACGCTACAATAATTAGGAGCGAAGTAGCAATGAAAAATTCGGAAAAACGGGAAAATTATTCCTCCTTTGACAGCTTCCGTTGCTTACGCTGCTTAAACGGTTAAAGTTACGTGAAAATCATGTATGACGAAATTGTTCCCCTCTAAAAGATCTAAAGAAAAGTCCGCGACAGCATATGTCTATCTTTTAAGGTCGAATCAATATAACCTTTTTTATGGTAATGAAATTTGTTCTAAAATAATAATGCATTATATGTATATAAAATTCTCGCGTCACAGTGTTTGTAACCGAACTTCTCCGAAATGGGTTGACCGATTTGTATGAAATTTTTTGTGCATATTCGGTAGGTCTGACAATAAGTTGTAAACTATTTTTTAAACTCGTAAGTGATAAGGGTGGGTCACCCTAAAAAATGTTTGTCTATTTTTTGGGCAAAATTTTTTATTTTTATTTTTTTAAGATTTGGCATCAAAAAATACACATAACCCTAAATTTTCACCTTTCTACCACCAACCCCCATTTTTTAATCGTCTATAAAATAAAAATCAATTGCTGTTCCTGTTAGTCTCGCTAAGACTCAAAAACGGCTTGACCGATTTGAAATTTTTTTTATATTACGGGGATGGTTTATAAATAAAAAAAATAAGGATAACTTAAAAGAAAGTTAAAAAATAAAAAAATTCTAAAAATTTTGTATGGGAATCGCCACTTCGAATTAATTTCAATAGTTGGCGTTTCTGACGGACCTGTCGTCTAACTGACGTGTCATACAAAACTAATTCTTCCGTGTGATTGTGAAAAGTATATTGCATTTCAAATCGTTCTTTGTTTTTTCGTAAAAAAAAGCGTCCGTTTATTTTAAGAAAAGTCTTGGTTAAAGTGAATTTAATTACACATTGCGAAAGTTTCTTATTCATTTTGATATGCCATTCTTTTTACCTATATTCACTTTGTTGGTTTCGACTAAACCTAAAACTTTACCGTTATTCGAGGATTTAATTTGAAGTTTTCAATATTTTAAAATTCTCAAGACAACATTTACAGATTTGATTGACTGTGAAAATAATTCTGTGTCGTTTTATGAAGTTCATTAAAATGCCGAGAAGACGACAAGCTCACATAGGTCCACGAAGTCAATCAAATGTGCGGCGAACTACCTCAGGTGCAAACCGCAATGATTTATTTCATGGGTAATTCGGATATGGAAGTTGATCAGCGTTGTGCTCATAATCAACATAATCAAACATTGAAGCGCGACATTGGGTGGTATGAATAAAACTGAGTAGATACTCATATTCGAAGTACGACCCAAGCAGCAGACTGTCGTCTAATTCACGTCAATTTTTGGTCATAACTCGTCGGCGACGTCATTCGCCCAAAAAATCACGTGATAATGACGAGATTTTTATGACTTACTTCTGACGTCAATTAATGACGTCAAAAGGCCGTCCTTTCTTGGTCATTTTTTTATAGATTATATGATCAATTAGATGTGGATCGTCGTATTCTTTAAAAAGTGGCCTTCATAATGCTTAATTATCTTTAGAGCAAAAAAAAAACAACGGCTTTATTAGAAATACACCAAAGACAAGTTTTTTCATCTAATAATTTCTAATAAAATAATTATTTCTGAAAACTTGTTTATACTCTGGAAGTGTTATTTTGTAAGTACCTGCTTGGCAAATTATAAATAGAACATCCGGGGTTGAGGGTATAATAGTGAAAACACCCCACGACACAAACAAAGTCATAAAAATTCTTTGTCCATTGTCCCTAAAACG